AGTTTGGTTATTGCATAACTTGGAGCTAAACTCTGCACAAAATCATTGCTGTATACCCAGCTACATAAGTTATTCCGCCTTCTCACCAGGCCTTGCCTTTTCGGGATTCATATTTTTGTCCACAGGATATTAATATGGATTTTGTGTTAAGAAATTGAAGGTGGATGTGTTTCTTAGATGGGTACTTCATGATACATGTGATGGGAGGGGAAAACAGTGCTATCATTGTTTGGAGTGTTACAACACAAATATTTTGGTCAGCACTTCCTATTGTGGCCAACTTCTCATTTCATCTTCATTTCCTTGCTCTCAATTGGTTTTTAAAAATGTTTATGTATCCAAAAAACACATCAAGGTGTCATTTATTGCACTTTTGGTATTGATGTCAGTTTTTGAAGTTATGTTAAAATTCTTTGAAGTTACATTCAAGTTACTTGTGACTTGCGTTAGGTTTATATTTATGAGTGTCCTTGTGGCGGTTCCTTTGACTTGTTTTTGTGTCGGTAGGTAACGTAGGTAGTCTTATAAAAGGAAGATGTTATAAGTAGGTAAATGATATGCTCAAGATTCGGTTGCAGGTTGAAGGTAGAATAAAAAAAAAAGCTTCACTATTCTAGTGCCCTACAAACATGTACGTATTCATAAAGTGCTCACGGATTTCTGCGTGCTCTTATGACCAGCGACACATTTTTCCTTCCTATTAGAATATAGATTACCACATTATTCCCATTTTTATTCACGTGTTTTGAGCATTGGAAACGTATTCTTTTAAAAAGTTATCCGATAACTCCAGGTTACTCTTCAGGCAAATATCCTTTTACTAGATGATAGAGTATCAAAATAGTTTGACTCGGGAACTTCTTAATAAAAATAATGTTTAGACGTTAGTTCGAAACTGTCACTGTCCCCGATTTTGTGTAGTGTTTAAAGGAAAAAAACTTTTCTTTAAATCTGAGCTTTGTTAATAGAACTGTTCTAAAATAAGAAGTGTTTTTTCCCCCTGCAGTGTTAGAAACACAAGTTTTATGCTTCTTTCTGGGAATAGGAAGTCAGATTTAACAATCTACTTTCCATTGATTCGACAGGTTTTGTTTGGTACATTTAAATTGTGAGCATCACAGTGGTAAAAAGTTTTTTAAAATTGTATTCACTCTTAATTAGCATGTCCTTATTTTAAGTAGAGTATTGACACGGGATTTTAAAAAATTATTAATGATGATTCTTTACTATTGAAAAACCTAAGCCAGTTTGGAGAAGATTTTACATACCTAGATCTGTGCTATTTTCACTAATCAAAGAGAGGAGTAATTTCAGGTGTTAGATTTTTAGTTGGTTGAATGAGACCCTCACTTTTGGTGGTTTCAGGGTTTTAGATGACGTTTTATTACTTTTGTTAGTTTTGGTCACACCCATGACTTCCTTGGAAGGTAACTTTGAGGTTTGGTTTCCTTTTTTTTTATGGTAATATTGGGGTGGGGGTGCTTCCTGTTTGTATTTTCAAAATTAGGTCCACATAGTAACCTTCTCTGGTGTCACATTTCAATTTTAAACAAAGACAAGCATCAGATGCCATGTGGTTTGTCTTTGACCTGTTGCGCTGCTTTATGACAGTTTTACTGAGCTCAGCCCGAATACCCAATTGGGAAGGCAAGACATTCCTGAAACTTTCCCCAGCTCTCTTCAAGATTTAGCAGCCTTGGAAGAAATCTTAAAAAACAACAACAAATACGCAATTTTAAAAAAGTGTGGAGGGGGAGGGCGGGAGGGGGGCGGCTACGGCCATCTGTTTCCTCCCAGGTACCTAGAAACTGCACAGCACTAGATGGAGCTGAATCGTGTTCTGTGGAGCCTTGGATGTCAGCTTTTAAAGAAGGGTTGCCCAGCCCGGCCGCTGTGGCTCAGTGGTTGAGCATCGACCCATGAACCAGGAGGTCACGGTTCAATGCCCGGTCAGGGCACATGGCCAGGTTTCGGGCTCGATCCCCAGTGTGGGGCATGCAGGAGGCAGCTGATCAATGATTCTCATCATTGAAGTTCCTCTCTCTCTCTCTCTCTCTCTCTCTCTCTCTCTCTCTCTCAAGAAAGGTTGCCCCTGCTTTATACAATATAGAGCCCCATGTATTAAACAGTGAATATGGCAGCTTTTTCTGGCTTCACCTGAAAGCCATTCAGAATGTCATGGAGGAGTTAAATAAGAGCAAGGAAACATTTAGGAGATGGTGGTAGAACTTTGGAGGAATCCCCACCCTGAGCCGTAAACTCTCCCTTGACCCTCCCCAGTAATTTCCATGTGGTAGGTTACTGTTTATATGTATGTTGGAGTGTGAGTTACATGGAGCCTTGAGAAGAAGTACGTTCTTGAAAGGAGCATGTGATAATACTGTTTCAGACTTTGAAGCAAGTGGTCTTTTCTGGGCCTTCAGCTGACTTGATTCTAAGAAGTGTCATGACTAAATAGACTCTTAATTTAATTGGCACTCAAATACGTTTGCCCTTTAGGGGTGCTTATCCTACACTTTCTTTTGGATCACATTGCTAAAGGCAGTACTGCATTAGCATGTTGTGCAGTGATGCATTATGTGATTTGCAAATGCACAATGGTTAATACATACAGAGTATCATAACCTCCCTTACCCCCCTCCATTACTCAAGAAAGGAGAAGTTATAATTTGTCATCTACTGGATATTCTTTGAGTTTATTCATAATAGTTACATCCATTCCCATGTATTATAATACCATTAAGATGAAAAATACATATATTGATTGATAAAGAACATTTATTTACCTTCTGGAAGCTAGCTTGCAAAATCTGGTCCAACACTCACTGTCCATTTAGTCTTCCCTTGCCTTTGACACTCTAACTCTTTATTTTCCCAGATTTCTATTATGAAGAGAAATATCTCCATATTCTATGCACTGCGAGGTATTTGAAGTGCTTGTGCTGACTCATTTTTTAATTATACTAAGATACAGAGGATGGTTTGAGAGCAGTAATAAGATTCTCAGAAAATATAAAAACTTTCCTTTCTGACTCGTTAGAGAAAGGTTGGGGAAGACAAGGGGAAATACATCAATGAGCCCGTCAGTTGTTGTTATTTGTTGGGATTAATTTGGTGACTAAGATTTTCAGTGCCCATCAGGCCAGTAAAAGTGAGTTTGGCTTTACTCTGTAATGCTACCAGGACAAACCCAAGGGTTTTCTAATACGTACTGCTTGTTTTCCCCTGGTAGGGGATTTTTTTGGCGTATGGGAAATCAAGCTAAAGTTACCAGTAACAGCCACATCCATGATTTGTACTAAAAGTGATGATTTACGACTCTAGGCTATAGCTCTGCTTACTATGGGCTCCTCTGGGAAGATATACTCATTATCTATATACTCATTATTATGCCATCTTTCAAAAAGCAATCAGAAAATTTATTAAAAAGTAACTCAGATTATGTCCAAAGCCTAAAAGTACAAAGATAATAAAAATAATACCTAACACTGTCCATTTCCGGTGCCAAGCAGACAGTGTTATAGCTCTTGCCATGTTTTCACTCATGATCCTCTGGCAGCGGGGATGGGGGGGGGGCGGGGTATTATCCTCAGTCAAAAGATGAAGAAATGGCCACAGAGAAGTTAAGTAACTTGCCCAAGGTCACATTGCTAGTAATGACGGCGCTGGATCCAGATCCAGGCCACTTTGATTTCAGAGGCGCATTCCTAACCCTTGTCCTGCAAAGGAGTGTGGGCAGCTGTAACTGTGCAGTAAGACAGTGGCTTCTTTAAGGCTCATGTATTTTTATTTGTGTTCCAAAATGGACTCTTTTTTTTTTTTACATAGAAAAACATTTAATATATTTGGGATGTTTTGAAGTTATGAACATGATAAGCATTTTTTCCAACTAATGTATATATTTCTGGTGGAAATTACATTAAAGCAGAGAGAGTCTTAATTTTAACTGTAAGTTGTCCTGTGTTGTTCTTTCACTAGCATGACCATATACACCTGTTTGTATAGGAGAAGTGCTATAAGCTGTCTTGCTGGCCTTTATTTACAAACAAAAGGAACTCTTGTGCCAATGTGGCACGTGACACAAGTGTTTGTTGGCCGAGGACTCAAGTATCCAGCTCATTTTCTTTACAGCTTTATTTTGAAGGGATTTATGGTCCCATTCCTGTTTTATTAAAGCCACTGATTGTGATTTCTGAGATAGAAGGACTTAAGAATTTTAATTTGGGGGTGGGGGTAAAGGCAGCTGAACAAATTACTGTGTGTTTAGGGCGAGGCAAATGGTCATTAGAAACCAGTCTAAGAAACATATTCCTTTTCATATCTGATGCTTATTTTCTCTGAGCACTTTCCCTTGGAGGTGGATTGTGAAGTTAAATCTTGAAGATATAATTCACAAGACTACACTGTGCACTGTAGAGCCTCATTCCTAATGTGTAGTGATTTGAATTTGAAAGATCAAGTCGGGGGTGAGAAAAAACTTTAATTCCCTGAGCAGAGAGTATAAACTAGTTCAAATAAACAGAGGATGTTCGCTTCCAGGATTGTCAAACTGTCACCTTTGACCAGGGTTGAATTTTCTTTGAATGTTGACAAAAGTTACAGTGTCAGTGGAAAAAGCTTCATGTGAAGTATCTATAACTCAGAATTTCCTTATGTTTGTGTCAGTGAGATCCTACAATTAACGCTTTTTAACTTGTCTGTTGAGTCTAAGAAGCCTTCAGTGGGGTTTTCCAGCCTTTAGGTGGGAGTAATTTAGAAAGTTTATGAAAAACTGTTTTATGTTGTCTAACATTGAGAGCCTGTAGCTGGTGGCAAATCACTACTGTTTTTGTAAAGCATGGGATTTGAAAATCCAACCCGGGGGACATGCCTTAACTAAGCAAGATTCACAAATGTCATTGTAGTATTTATAAAAAGAAACTGCTTAGCACTGAATCTGTTGAGGTACTAAAAATTGGAATTTTCCAGCTTTATCATAGAGCATTCTTCAAAATAGAGTCATCCATCGTTTAGGTAAAATTACCTCTCAGAAATAATGCTAATTCTATTTTTTTTTTGTTTCCTGTTTCTAAAAATCTCTTGGTCATCTTTGAGGCTTGAGGAAAGTAGCAAACTGGAGATTTACAGAAATATGCAGCTCTTTACAAAATGTAACCGTCAGTTTACCCGGTGGGTTTATGTTTTTAGGATTTGTGATCTGTTTCCGGTAGAAAATGAGGGAGAATTATAGTGAGAATTGGACATTGTAGAGCCTCATTCCCAAAGGTATGGGAGGTCTAATATATAGAGATGCAATGCAAATATTCCTTCTTTTTATGTTGTTATTGTTTCAGTTATGTAGTGATAAATGGAAACCCTGAAGCTTATCCTAAGATAAGTGTATCTTATAATGAGTTTAAATAGCAAGTGAAAATACTAAATTCATTGTGATGTGAATAGAGCTTGGCCTTCCTCTTTAACTGTTGAAGGTATTAAAACAAAATGGAAAACATTTGGCTTCCTGAATGACATGGCTGCAGTCAACATGCTGAGCTGGTGATGAAGCATGAACCCTTGATTTTGCAACACCAGAGCAAAGCACGTAAGTTTAAAGGGATGGGTCCTTAAGTAAGATAGCTTAGTACCTTAAGCACGCATTTTAAATTTTGTCCTAGAAATGTGACATCGTCCGAATTTATGGATTTGAATTTTTATTACCCAAATGTGAAGTCTAGTTTGGACAAAACTTAGCATTATATTCCAGTTAATTGGTTCATTTGAACAGGACAAACTTAAAACAGTGGCTTTCATGGAACAACTCATAAAAGAATATATTGAAATATACATATTCATATACAATATGCATACATCTTAAAAACTTCTTTGTGCTCATAATGCCAGAAACCAAAGGTAAATGACAAAATAAGGAAAAAAATTTTTTTTATCCTCACCTGAGGATATTTTTCCATTGATTTTTAAAGAGATTTGGAAGAGAGAGGGAAAGACAGAGAAATATCAGTGTGAGAGAAACACATCAATTGGTTGCCTCCTGCACGTGCCCCGACCAGGGAGGAGCCTGCAACTGAAGCACCTGCCCTTAACCAGAATTGAACCCGGGATCCTCTGGTCCATAGGCCGATGCTCTATCCACTGAGCCAAACCAGCTAGGGCAGAAAAGTATCTTTAAAAATATATATTTTATTGATTTCAGAGAGGAAGGGAGAGGGAGAGAGAGATAGAAACATCAATGATGAGAGAGAATCACTGATCGACTGCCTTCTGCACACCCCAGTTGGGGATCAAGCCTGCAACCCGGGCATGTGCCCTGACAAGGAATTGAACCGTGACCTCCTGGTTCATAAGGTGATGCTCAACCACTGAGCTACTGGCCAGGCAGACTAACAGCATTGGAAAAATAAAAACAGTGTTGCTTAGGAATATGAGGGAAACTGACACTTCATGACTCATTGGTTGAAATGTAAATTGGTGCTTTTTCGAAGTTTGATATGTGTATTGAGAGCCTTAAAAATGTCCCTACACTTTTACCTAACAGTTCCATTTAGATGACAGAATCTCAAATGTGTTTAAAGATTTGTATACAAGGCTATTCCTCATCATTTTATTTAAAATAGCAATAAATTGGAAAACAACTCATGTTCAGCATTACAGGATTAATGAATTTTAAATTTAGGAATTTCTATACAATGGAATACTATTCAGCAATTTCAAATCATGTTATGAAAAATATTTAATGACTTAGGTAAGGTTTATAGTATATTACTAAATGAAAAAGCAAATTATAGCCCTGCTGGCGTGGCTCAGTGGTTGAACATAGACCTATGAGCCAGTCACAGTTCAATTCCCCGTCAGGCCATATGCCCAGGTTGCGGGCTCAATCCTCAGGGTGGGGCGTGCAGGAGGCAGCCAATCAATGATTCTCTCTCATCATTGATGTTTCTATCTCTTTCTCCCTCTCCCTTCCTTTCTGAAATCAATAAAAAAAAATTTTTTAAAAGCAAATTATTTTTTAAAAACCACATACAATTGTGCTTGGAAAAAAGAATAAGCATTAAAAAAAGATTTCTTCTGGATTGTGAGATTCCAGATGTGTGTGTGCGCACTTCCTAGCATTTCCTGTTCATTATTACCTGTTTAATGAACAGGAAATAGTTTTACACTCAAGAAAAAAGTTACTTTAATGAATTGATAAAGAAATTGTGATATTTATATTCTTTCTTTATATATAATGGAGTGTTAGCCATAAACATAAGGAAATCCTGCCATTTGTGACAACATTGATGAACCTTGAGGTCATTATGCTAAATGAAATGGCAGACAGGGAAAGACAAATATTATATGATCTCACTTAAATATAGATATAATAATAATAAAAACAACAACTCATAAAAATAGCAGATTGGTGGCTGCCAGGGGCGGGTGGCGGGGGCGGAATGAGTGAAGATGGTCAGAGTACAGACTTCTGTTGTAAACTCTGGGGATGTAGTATGCCGCATAGCGACTATAGTTAACAATGTATTGTATAATTTAAAGTTGCTAAGAGAGATATTAAAAGTCCTCACCACACACACACACATGCACACGCACGCACACACACACGCACGCACACACACACACAAATTGTAACTATGTGGTGGATGTGTTTACTAACCTTATTGTGGTAACCATTTTGCAATACATCAAACCATTGTACACGTACACTTTAAACTTCCACAATGTTATATGTCAATTATATCTCAATAAAGCTGGGGGGAAAGTAATTTTTTAAATGACATTTGTGTATTGATTTATCTTAGAATAAACAACCTGTTTTTGTTTTCAGTTAATGTTTCCTTTTTAGGAACAGAAAAATGAATAATTTGCATTGGTGTTAACTATTTGGCATGGTATACTTATTTAGTATGGTTAGATGACGTATTTTGTTGAAGAGCTATATTAAAATCATTACCATTGTATTCAACATTTTCAGAGTTAAAATAATTGGAACTTGAGCACTGAGTTATTTCCTATACTTGGTGGAATGCTTCATAAACTGATAACAAATTATATTGTTTTCTAAATATGATAAAGAAATTATAATGTTTTCCATACTTGTGTATGTGCTCTGCTAAGCTACTATTCTTTTCATGTTGAAGGTGTGTGTTTGTTGTTGTTTTGACTTTTGGAAAAAAAAACAGGCTTAGTTTATTTTAACTTCTTACAACCCTGAGCATTGTATTATTTCAAGATATTTTCTGCACTTGCTGTTGTACTGCTTTCTCTTCCATGATGATACCTACAAAGGTTGCTAGGTTTCCTTTCCTTGTAATTCCATTAGTCATGCCTAATGACCTCTAAATGTTTATTATGGTATTCATTTGAGAATATCTGGTAAGGGAAATGTCTAGCGAAGATACTTTCCCTTGGGTATATGTCATTAGTAATACAAAAGACGTGTTCTGACTTAATTAAATTTACATTAAGTAGTTTATTTGTAACTAGATTTAAGGAGTTTAAAGAAGAAAAAGGAAAATAAACTATAAGTTGATGTTTTAGGAGAATTCTGGAGCCACGGCTATTTAGGTCTTTATTACTTTGCAGCAAATAAAATTACAATCTTAAAAAAAAACAACACATGTAATTTTTGAGCCCAGCAGAAGACCTACTTATTTTATGTAAATGTCATCTCAGTAAAAATCTACCTTAACTTAGATTATGCCTTGTAATTTATTGTAATGAAATTTGCTGTAACAGAATTTTATTTTAAGTTAGTTTTGAGACTACTAAAGTATAAAAGAAACCAGGTAGTATCTTTTAATGCTTTTTAAACCTAAATCCATAAGTAGTTAATTCAAATTCATAAAGATAAATATTTTCACATATTGAAAATAAAATTATAGCCCTAGCTGGTTTTCCTCGGTGGATAGAGCATCAGCCTGTAGACCGAAGGGTTGTGGGTTTGATTTTGGTGAAGAGCATGTACCTCAGTTGCAGGCTGGACCTCCAGCCCTCGTCGGGTGTGTGTGGGAGACAACAAATCTGTGTGTCTCTCTCAGATTGATGTTTCTCTCTCTGTCTCCCCCCCTCCCTTCCACTCTCTCTGAAAATCAATGGAAAAATATCCTCGGGTGAGGATTAAAAACAACAACAACAAAAATGGCCAACAGTTGGATTCCATAAAAAAAAAAAAAAGCCATGAACATATTGCCCAATATGCCTTCATTAATAAACCTGTTAATTTTTTGGTTCTTTTTGCTTATAACTTCTTACCTCCTGTCTCCTGAAAATTTGATGATCTCATTTAATCCAAAATTATGTTTTCCTTTGGTTTCAGTTTATTTGTAGTTGCTGATTTATCACTGTGATATTATTGTGACCAGTTAGACCAGTTTCTTCTCTTAGGTATCTTAGACATCTTTACCGAACCATGAGGTATTTTATAAATCATTTAAATTTGGGGGCCTCAAATTTAGCATCATATATTTTATAATAATAGCATCAATTAATTATACAACATATTTTAAAAGTTATACATAAAATGATTTATCGCTGTCTTCAGGAAAACTAGTTACTTGTTTGTGTTACTTGTCTTTATCCGATTTTGAGAACTTGGCCATCCTCACAAAGATAAGTCTTTTCCAATCTGTAAATCTGAAGGTTATCTTCTTAAAGGAGTTCAATGTATGTGAGATTCAAAAGACTGCAAAAAACACCTTCTTTCAGACGTTAACATAATTTTGTTGGAAACTCTTTAATTTGCTTTTTGTCTCTTAGTTGCTAGAGGGCTTTTTGAAGTTTTATGTGTGGGAGGGTGGTGTTTAAAATACCTCCTAGGTGCCCAGCCCGTGTGGTTCAGTGGTCGAGCCAGGAACCAGGAAATCGCAGTTGGATTCATGGTCAGGGCACATGCCTGGGTTGCAGGCTCGATCCCCAGTAGGGGGCATGCAGGAGGCAGCTGATCGCTGATTCTCTCTCATCACTGATGTGTCTATTTCTCTCTCCCTCTCCCTTCCTCTCTCTGAAATTAAATAAATAGATAAGTAAACTAAAACACCTCCAAAGTAAGTAAAGAAATGTATTCCAAAGTTTTATAGTAATTTGGCTATTTAAGTAAGACTTAGTAAGTACTAAGTAAATATTTGTTGACTAGTGAATGAATGGGCTGTACAATCACACCTGCTTTTTAAGGCACAGACAACACCTTGACCCATTAAACTAGATTTGCCAGTGGTTCTTACCCATTTGGGGATTAGAGGATGTTTTGAGACTCCGATAAAACCATTGACTCTCTGCCCAGTAAAATACACATACACATGAAATTTTGCTTACACTTGAAGAGGTTCATGGACTCTAGTTGCAAGCCCCTAATATAAACAACCAGCTCCCTATTAACACAGGTAGTGGAATTAGAAAATATGGAGAAGAGAAAAATAATCCAAATATAAAAAAGCAAACCTCTGGTCTGATCTTGTTATTTGGGGGCTCAGGAGGGACTTATTTTCTCAGAAACTTAATAAATATCAATCTACTTGACCATTTAAGGTATTCCATTATATAGCTCTACCATAATTTAGTTGATCTATTAATGGATATTTAGGTTGTTTC